CCTCCACCACCACCACAATCGTCCATACACCACCACCGTACACTACCACCATTAATTTATATAGCAGTCTACAGACATTAAAAAAACAAACAGTCTTCTTCTTGCAGACCGCAGACCTTCGGTCCACTACTTCTCCTGCAGATGTCTACAGTAGTGGTGGTCCGCAGACCGCAGACCTTTTCCTGCAGAAAAAACAAACACCCCCCAAATCACGAGGTGATGAAATCCTTGAGCAGAACAGGGAGACGAAATAAAATGGAGCCACCTGGAATGTGGACAATGAACAGAAGTAGGTTCTTTCATAAAAGAAATTGGTTGCACTTTTATGTGTAATAAAATTTTATTGTTTTACTTTGTTTCTTTTTGTTTCACGGGGGGGAAAAGTTTTATGCTCCCCTATGGAGCCAAAGATTCCCTATTTTTTGGATTTGGGATATGATGGAATAAAGCAAATTGGCTGTCTAAACTGTTTGTGCTTCTTGCAATTGTGAAGTAGCAGTTGGTCAATGCAACTTTCGACGCTCATCATGGGTCATCTGGAAACAGCCGCTCTATGTTTTAAACATAGGGGTCGAACTGCGTACATTCGACTCCCCTTACCCCGCAATGGCCGGGAGCCGTTGAGGCTCTGGGGTAATGTTGTTGTTGTTTGTTTGGGCCTGGGCAGCTAATTTGGGTCAAATACACAATTAATAATTACGCATCAATTATATTCAAGAAGATTTGAACTTGGTATACATTTTAGACTTAAGAAAATTGATGCCTTACATTATTGTACGAGTCTAGAAGCTGTCTTTAATGTAAATGGTGTAAAAAATTGATTTTTACATGTCAATTAAGCGCGTACCCTTTAGCTAAAAACATTGTGTACCACATTCCAGTTGGTGTACTGCAAGAATGTCTCGTCTTTCGGGTAAGTTATGTGTGGCTAGAGTAGGAGTAGTGTATGACATGGTGTGTAGTACAATTTTTAGAGTCACATGTTATTATAAAGTGAGAAGATTTTGTGGGGCATGGGGAATAGATTTGGATTTTTGTATTTATGCTCCAGACGTCCATTTCCAGTGGGGCAAAAGAAGTCATTTTGAGTTTTGACAATGTTTGATTTCAGGTAAATAATGGACTAAATAAAAGTGGCACATTAAACATTCATTGCATCTTACTCTCTATGGAGGGGCAATAAATGCAGCAATGGTCTAATAGGAAAAGCCTTTATGGGTAAAATTTCACCATCTTGATCCCCGACTCCAATGGAGTTAGGATTATACTGGGTTGCTTGTAGGATTATACTGGGTTTCTTGTTGTATTTTGGCTCCTCAAAGGCCTTCTATCAAATACAAACATTAGCACCTCTCGTAAAAAAGTATAACTACACACATTACAATAAGGTAATGAATATACAATTATTTTAAAAATAAATATTTTGTTAAGGTGCAAAAAAAGAAACCCGAGCATTGTACACATCCACATGTGTTACTTGTTACTCTTTCAATCCCACTATTTTAGGGACATGGGGTAATAGTCCACAAATTTAGAAAAGTGTAATTGTGTGGTGATATCGATGTTAAAAGGTAAAAAAAAAGAATAAATGTGAGCCGCACAAACATTATTAAATATGGTATCAGAGGAAGAGTGGCACAGATAGACCTGGCAAAACAGAACCGAAACTGATTACCCGAACCGAAATATCCAAAACCGAAATTATCCGAAAAATGAAGATCCGATCTATAACCGAAAACCCGAAATGATCCGAATCGAACCAAAACCGAACTAAATAATTCATATCCGATTTGAATCTGAAACCGATTAGATCCGAAAGCGAAAATACCCGAAACTGATTAGATCCGTAACCGATAGTATCCGAACCCGATAAGAACTAAAATCGATAAATTCAGAAATGTGTTTGCCTTTCAATAAGCATATTATATTTTTAAATTTTCTTTTATTTTACCATTTGAACTAACTACATTATTTGCTTATTCCCTCGTAAAATGGATTATTATCTTGAAAAAAAGTACAAAATTTCATGCCTTAAATTTATTATATTTAGAAATTGAAGATAAGTTATACATATAAAATTTTGGATGAATAAAGTGAGCCAACTATTTTGTTATTAACAAAATTAAAGGAAATAAAATAATTGAAAAACAAGGTGAAGCATCAATTAAAAACAATTAGGTCTAAGAGTTGAAGGTGAATGACAATTGAGAAATGAGTTGAATGGTGGCATAAGAAAATTGATAAGATTAAGCAGGGAAAGTGAAAATAATGGGGGAAATTTTGAGCATAAGAAAATTGATAAAAAATTAAGTCTTTGATTAGTTATTATATAGAAAATACAGTACTAATTTCAGTCTTAAGTTACAAAATATAATTAAAACAATCTTAATTTCAGTCTTTTCAGTGTTAAGTTACAAAAGAATGTTACATAACGCAAAACAAAGCAAAAATTTCAGGTTTTTTAAATTTATTTTATTTAAAGATTGGTATAGAAATAAAAAAATGTTTATATATTTTTAAAAAAATACATCAAAATTTTTACAAAATAAGATGTTACAAGAATAATAGTTTATTTTATCAAATAATAAATGATAATGCACAAACAAATAAAATTTTCGTAATTTTTAAATAGTGAAGTGTGATATTCTTTTTGGGACGAAAGGATTATATGATGAATTGTATGGAATAACTAGATTTTATTCTAATCTCATCCAATTACAATAAATTTTATTAGTTTGAGAGTTAATTTGATAAGTTTAAACCAATTCACTCAATATTAGTCAATAACATTAGATGCTAGTGTTATCATTTTGAAAAAACTCTCTAGCGGCACCATTTAGTGTTACTATTTTCAAATTCAATCTACACCAATACATTTAGGTGTAAAATTAATTATATTTGACTCTATTAAATTTAATTTTATCTAATTTCAACCAAATACACTCAAATAATTTATAAATTTTGCACTCAATTGAAAACAATTTACTTAATTTCACCCAATTTCACTCAATTTTTACCAAATTATATTCAAATGGTACATAACACTATCGGAATTTATCTTTTATCTTTTCATTTATAAACATAAATATATTAGTAGATGTGAGGAAAATTTGTTATATCAAAACTAAATTTTAAAATCAATTTAATTATACTCCCTCCGTCCACAAATAAACTTCCCATTGCGCATTACAATGTTTGACTGAAGTTATTTTTAAATCATTTTATATGAAAAAATGGTGTGAAATTTTTTTTAAAAAAATACATATTAAAAAACTATATCAAAAGATCTACAAAACTAGAGGTGACATGACTATATTATTTTATCAAATGGGTAACGAAAATAGGCCAACAAGGTGAATACAGTTTGACCCTGTGAATAGTGAACGAGAAGTTTATTTGTGGACGGATGGAGTATTAAATTTATATCATAATTAAATATACAATTTTTCATAATTTGTAGTCCAAATTTTTAAAATATGACTAAAAAGTCAAAAAGGGAAGATTATTTAGGGTTGAGATAATATAATTAGAAAAAATATAAAATAGTATGAGGTGTTGAATTGACGATATATTGATAAATGTGATAAAACCATAGTTACAGAATTCGTACACCCAGCCGCGATTTCCGAATTGGTACGAATCGTACCCAATCGCAATTCGCCGGTGATCCGATCGCCACCGGTACGGCGATCCAAATCGCCATGGTACGGCGCTCCAATTCGCGAAGGTACGGTGATCCAGATGCCCTTGAACATCGCACCAAGTCGGAGAATGTGGAGTGCCAATCGCCGGCGGTCCAGTGATCCAAATTGTAATTTCGTTTCTTCCGCGACCTTCCCTCTTTCAATTTGAGATTGTTCTCTTGGTAAATTCAATTTGCGATTGCACTTCCCCAAAGTGTCGTGTGAGTCGTTCCGAGTCTCGGTTGCACTTCCCCAAAGTCTCGATTGTTTCTTGATTGTTCCGTGACTTCTCTCCGTAAGTGTTTCGTGTTTTCCTAGGCAGTATCCTCATATATATGCACTTATGCTCATTTATCTATTTTTGTTTACTTATGTTTTGACTTTTGGTACGCCGAACTGAATACATGGTACACCGTACCACTTCGTACCGAAATGAACCTACCCCCTTCGTACCGAATTCGTTACCTGTAGCGAATTTCGCACCCGTACCACGTACTGCGATTTATGTGACTATGGATAAAACATAAAAAGTAACATGGATAATTAAATTTTAATTAGAAAATAATATATATCCAAAATATTTTTAATCTGAAACCGAAATATATCCGAATTGAACTAGATCCGAAATCGAAATATATCCGATTCAAATTGTATCTGAACCGAAATCTATCCGAACCGATTTATAATCGAACCGTATCTGAACCGACTCGAAATCGAACCGAAAAATGTATAGAACCGACTCAAATCCGAAACGAAATTAAACCGATCCGAACTGAACCGATTATAACATATATCCGAAAGATATCCGAACCAAAAAAATCCAACCCGAAACCGATCCGGTTGACCCGATTGCCACCTCTAGGCACAGACGAAGGTAAAAGGGACAAAAATAATAGGGCGGAGAGAGTAAGTGCATTTCTTATACATTAACATTATTTTTTTATTTCGTGGAAGAGAAGCATGTCAAACAGTTGAAAAAAGAATTTCTTTCCCATATAGTTTGGTTCTGGTAACAAATGAGTCAAAACCATTGCCAAAAAAAGTACTTTCCCTTTGGTTCTGGTAACAATTGAACCAAAATCATTGCCAAACTTTATTAGTTGATTTGTGTGTACTATTTACCAAAACCAATACCCATGTGCAGTTTACATCAAACATCATGTTGAGAATGTTTTGTTTTTGTTTTTGTTTCTTGAATGATGTCATGAGCAGAACATAAAGATTATTGGCTGATGCATTGTTGTGTCATTTGGACTCATTGCAGGCATACTTTTGTCCTCTACAAGGTGGACAAACAAAACATTTGGGGAACGGTTGAGGGGCTGCTCTCAGACAACCAAGTTGAGGCAAGCTATAGTGCACTACATACTCCTGTTTGATCTTGATATTAATAGTTTTAAAATTTCAGTCCCAAGTGGGTGGACCTTTTTGTGGTACCCGGAAAACCACACCCATAATAACACACACACGTCTGTTACCACAACATTCGCGCACGCGCGAACAATCGTATTTGTCCTTAACATGTTATTTATCAAATTAATAATTGTCTTGGCTTCATGGCTTATAAATGGAACTGTTTGATATGAATTATTAAACCAATATTAGTTTCTGAAAACTGTAAAAAGGCGAAGCAGGGAGGATGTCGTGGAATATGTAATTAACTGCTTTTTAACTGGTAACAGAAGAGAACCACATAAAATCTATTGAATTGAAATAAAGTCAGTGAAAATAAAAAAGAAACTGTCTTCCATTGAACCATCCATGTGACATGGACCATATATCAAACAAACAATCTCTAACGAATGGTTTGGATGATGAATTTCATGACGTCTGACCTTTATATTTTGATAATTTCAGGTAAGGGAGCATGCTGCAGCTGTATTGGCTGGACTAATGAAGGGTGGGGATGAAGATCTTGCCGACGACTTCCGCAGTAGAGCATTCAAGCAAGCAAGCATCATTCAGAAGAAAAGGAAGCAACGGTAAACCTTCAATTATATTTTGATATGGTGTGCTTTTATCTTTTTAATTTTTAAAAAATCAAATTTACTTCTTCCTATTTGATCAAACAAAGTTGTTTATGTTATTTGCCAAAAATTGCCTTGAAGGAGTTGTGTAGAAGTTACGTACTCCCTCCGTCCCTGAGTATTTGTCCACTTTTGACTTTTTTCGGTCAAAATTGGTAAACTTTGATCTCAAATTAAATAAAAATGATATTAGATATTGATACAAAAATAGTTTTATTAGATTTATTATGTCAAACACTTTCAAAATATTATTTTATTTAATTAATATACAATATATATTTTATTTAATTATAGGTCAAAGGTTGAAAGTAGTTGACTAAAAAAAGTCAAAAATGGACAAATACTCAAGGACAGAGGTAGTATGATAGAAGGGAAAACTTATGCTTATAATCCCGCCTTAACCTGATCTTCTTAGTTCTTAACATATTCCCACGTTTCAGTTAACTGAGGATCACCCTTTATTGGGCCACGATGTTGCACGTCTTGTAGTAACATGTGGGTGCACCTGCATGGTAGAGTAGTATTACTAGTATCCATGCAGAGGCCACATTTTTGTCATGACAACACCATCTCAGCACCATGTCACTGCCTTACATGCGCCACATGTTTAAACTCCTTGAGCCAACTCATTCAACTCGCCAAATCCACTCAACAAGTTGCAGATCCAGACTGGCTGACAATCAAGCAAACATGTCAATGAAGTGCCTCCGTACACTGGGCGAGGAAACTTCAATGTCGTCATCCTTCTTCTACTTCATCAGTGTTTGTTCAATCTCCCAACAAATCCATACTTAGTAGGAGGTGTGCTTGATTAAAAGAATATACCCATAAATCTCTCTCTCTCTCTCTCTCTCTCTCTCTCTCTCTCTCTCTCTCTCTGCGTGCAAGGCATGTGGTTCAAACTGTAAGGGTTCATAACTACATGTGAGCCATAGAGGAATGAAAGACTCCATTGAGTCGTGGCTATGCACTTTGGAGAGTAGAGAAAGTGAAGAGGGAATTTACCATCAGTTGCATGAAAGGGTACATGTCCTTATTCGTCAAAAGAGGAAGTCAACACTAGGACATATTTCCTTGGTCTTCATTCTATTGGCAACTCCTTTTCTCTCTGATTCTAGGTTATTCGTATTCCGTATTTTTTATATAGTCAATAACCTAGATACACATCTTCTCTTATGTATCTTAGTTATTGAAATGAGTTTCAATCAAATCAATGTGTCTTTTCTTTCCATTCGTTTTGAGTAAGTTTTCTCTTTTCATTTCTTTTCTCTCTTCTGTGTTTGAGTTCAACTCCTTTGATCAAAATATTCTGAATGCGTGGAGGATTAGGTCCACTTACTATTGTTATGTGGTTGACCAATATTGCATGCCACCATTTAGCTATTATGTTTTCTTGGTTCTGGTCATATGTGTAGAACGAATTTCAGGAATAGTATGAAAGGTTTTTAGATGCAAATATTCCTCCGAGAAGATGACTAGGTTTGAAGCTTAAGGTTCTCTATTAATTCGCTTCATTTTCCTCAAGGCCTTGCTCTAGTTTTTGAAGGGTTATGGAAGCTAAAAGCATGCATTCTTTTCTTGGTTATGCATTTTTTTATAGCACAACACCAAAGTTGCATTATATGCCCATCACCAATAACATATGTATCCTCTCATTACATATCTAGTAAAAGACACAAAGACACACACACACAACTATGATTATTCTACTGTGTTGCTTGAGACGGGGGTCTCTTGGAAACAACCCCTCTACTTTCAAGTAGGGGTAAGATCTACGTTCACACATTCTTCCCAAACCCTACTTTCGTGGGATTTTACTGGGTTGTATGAGCATTCCATATTCCTAGTCCTAATATGGCATGTTACTGTATGCATTTATGTGTAACCTTCATCTACAGAAGCTTGAGATCATCAGGGCAGTCAGTAGCATCCATACATGGTCAGATACTTGCGTTGGCAGCTTGTGTGTTATCAGTCCCCTATGACATGCCCGGGTATGTCCCAATTTTGTTGTACTCGTATCTCCATAGTATGCTTATTGTTACATTATTAATTTTGTACTGGATGCACAAGAATTAAAGGTTTTAGTGGAACATGGAAGATGCTTGAATTTTTCTAAATCTAGCGTCTGCGGTGAAACAAGGGTTTATTAGATATGCTGGGTCAGAACTTGTTACCAAATTGAACTTAACCATTGGTTATTGATGGATATACCTCATATACTGGGCTTTAAACCCGAGCCTGAGACCAAGCTAGTGAGAGCCCACGGGCAGGATGTCCTGGGTTTTTCTTGCTATAAGCTTGGCCTCGGACATGCATGGTTAGTTCAGCCTCGTCCTCGTCTCAAGCTCGGCCCCACCCTAATTTTGTGTTATCAGCACTACAGTACAAGTTTGAAGGGGACCCAGCCATCCACGTGTCTCTCTTTCTCTACCCTGGGTCCTCGATCCATCAGATATGTTTGGAAATTTAGTAGCTAGAATATTTCATAGCTGTGTAAACAATAGAGCAGCTACACACACTATTTTGTACGAGCATTCTTGTAACAAAATACACAAGGCAGGCTGGCTTGGTTGGGTTTCTGTTGGCGGAGTTATGCTGGCAGCATCTAATATGTTTATTTATTTCTGGAGGCACATTATTATGAATCTATATATTTTATACTGGTCTTGAGAACACAATTAAATTCTGTCTGTACTAGTGTATAGGATGAAAACAGGAATGCAATACACACACACACACACACACTCATATTTTTGTTCATATTTACATTTTTTACCTTGATGGATGATTTCTTGTTAAATGAAAAAAAAACACACAATTTTTCTTGTGACAACTTTACTCCTTTCATCCCAGAATAAGATTTCACATTTGACTCATCATGATTACTAAGAAAGGGGAAATATTGTGGTTGAGATTTATGTAAAGGGGAGATAACTAATACTGTATGAATCACATAATTCTTTCCTTGAAAAGAATGTATTTCTTTATTTATGGACAACCCAAAAGGGAAAGGTGGATCTTTTTCCGGTACAGAGAGTATCATTGTTATTAATTTATTATATGCATTTTCAATACTGATTTGTAATAATCTGTTTCAGTTGGCTGCCTGATTACATAACTCTACTGGCTCAATTTGTTTCGGAACCGTCCCCGGTGAAATCTACCGTTACAAAAGCAGTGGCAGAGTTCCGACGCACTCATGCAGACACATGGAATATACAAAAAGACTCTTTCACGGAAGAGCAACTTGAGGTAGGTATTAATATATCAATCTCCTTGGCCGATATTGGTATTGTTCTATGAGCTTTTAAAGTATGCTATCTCTTTCAGGTTCTGGCAGATATTTCATCATCCTCGTCATACTTTGCCTGAAAATGGTATTCTTATTTTTATTTTTGTTACGTTTATTTGTCTCTTTTATTTTCACACGAGAAAGTGGCATGACAAAAACAAAAGAGTACTTTGTTACTACTTGTATTGTTCATTTACCCCCACCCGTTTAAATAAGGAGCGGTCAAATGTTTTAAAATATTGTTGGTTACGGTAAGTTGGCACCATCCATATGGATGATTGTGGGTTAGTATTCTTTTCCTTTTAAAAAATAGGTCATTACAGTGTCATGGGATGGGATGACATCGGATACTTTGGGTGCCTCAGACAATGGATGATTCCTACGCCTCTCATCCCTGCCTCCAAGTCGGCGTGGAAGGGAGAGGAGGTGTTGTGTTGGGGGTTTGGGGATAAGGGGGTAGGAACCATCGATTTTTATAAACGAGATACTATAGATGCTCGATGTCATCCCATGAAATTGATTTTTAGTGTCATGGGAATGAGGGTTTTTTAAAATACGGAGTAATTAGATTGAAAATCAAATTTTGAAAAGAAGAGAGGTTGAACCCCAACCGAACCCCAGCGTCCTCTGTACCAGTCTTGACAATAGAAGAGGAGGTAATAGAAATTATGATCTCAAAATGATTGAAATAAAGTGAGACTTGTCCTTGGTGCGTAGAGGAATCTCATGCAGAGTATGATCATTCTTTATCAATGTTCTCAAGAGCGAATTTGAATTTACCTATTTGGCACACATCTCTCAACAAGGGTTGTAGACAAATCGAATATTCATAAATATTTTTTGTACCCCTAGATTCCCATGACATTGATTTCCAATGTCACGGGATGATCCGAGATTCATACGGTCTTTCGTTTGAAAAGTTGATAGTTCTTACATCCCTTAACCCCCCTCTCCTCCCCTGTAAACTCCGTCACCCTGGCCCGGGCTGAACCCACCCCCGCACCCCCGTTAATTGAGATTTATTTGACTTTATAGTCAAAATTTGACTCCAAAGTCAACTAAATCTTGTGGGGTGCAATTGACGGGGGTGTGAGTGTGGGTTCGGGCCGGGGAGGGGGTAGGAAACACCGTAGCTGCCCTAATCGGGGCCCATGTTATAAGGTGACAAGGGAGGCTCATGTCAGCCGAACACCCCCCTTATTTGTATTTGCTAGGTTTGGATGGTATTCGGTCTGAATATTTTCAGAGATTTTTATACAATTATTTCACATATACGGAGTATAAAATATTTGGTTCGCTTAAAAATTGGTTTGATTCATTTAAAAAAAAAGTCTTCAAAAATCCCGTGTATGGATATAGTTTGCCATTAGCTATTGAGGAAAAAATATACTCATAATTTACATATCTAAAGATGAAAATAGAAATATGCATTTAATTTTTAAGTAATTAGTAAATCACCTATTAAGTTTTAATAGTTACAATTTTGATCTTTTTTATTATATTACCATAGGGACTGAATCAAATATAGATATATTTGCATTCATCAGCGTAACAAGTAAAAATATAGATATATTCATTACGTAACAAGTAATGTGATTTGATTTTTTGAAATACGAATAAATAAAAACAAAAATGAATCACAAACTGAATTAAATTATTCATTTCATTTGCTACCTTATTCTCAATACATAAGCTATGCCACCCAGTCCAAAACCAAATTTTGGAAATGAGAAATAGCTCCTTTGTCCCCGAATAAGGTTCACTTTTTTTCTCATTTGTATCAAAATATATTTTCATTTTTTATTTTTATAAATAGAAATGAATGAAACGTTAGAACATTTCTCCCTTCTAAATAAATCATATCCACATTTTTTTGTGTTTCAGCATTTTTTTTAAACTATGCATGTCAAACTATGACTATTACTTAGTGGCCTGAGTACTAATTGTTGTAATGAAGTTGACTGGAATTTAGAAAAAAAAAGATAAGAGTATGTACAAAATGTTCCTACTTTTAAAGTTTCAAGTAGGCATTACTTTTTTTTCTTAAAAAAAATGAGAGAAAAGAACGGATGAGAACCGATGACAAGATCAGAACCGGCCGGTCTCCAACCTTAGAGCATAATTATGGATCGTGCGAGTTACACCAGATCAGTCCTTTAGAAAGACTGGTATTAGTCAGATCTTCATAGAAAATAACAACTTTTTTAGACTTGCTAGTTTGGTTAGGATTGGTCCAAGTCTGATTTTTGTTTTCATTTTATTGAAGGTCTTAATTTTTTTAAGTTTTAAAAATAAAATTTGATTATCTTATTTCTTCGATTTCTATACTTAGTTGATTTTTACTCTGCACAAGCTATTAATGAAATATGAATACTGTTCTCTAACACGTAGAAGTTGGGTACAATGAAAAAATAAATAAATCTTTGATTCATATACGTACTTGTATATTTGAGAGCTTTAACTTTTAAGTTTATTATAAGTTTGATGATATATTTAAAATTGAATGAATGTAGACATAAAGTATGTTTTCATTCATTGATTATCCAATGTAACATGAAAGTCATAATAGACCATTAATAAAGAATGAAGAAATATATATTACTTCCGTTGTCCCAAAGTTACTCATCTAATGTGACATTCTTACTCGTGTAACCTGGATATATGGATTAGCGAATCACGTGCTACGAAATTAGTACTAGATGCAATAATTTTAAATATAATTCAAAAAAATTAAATCAAAACATTGTTTAAATTAACTTCATCAAAGTATTGATTCATCATGTACTGAAAATAAAAGGAGCTCTACTGTAACTAAATCAATCAATTGACCGGCAATCCTTTCTCCATATCAACTCTAGAACATGAAACATGACACAAAATGAAGGCCTTCTTAATCTCATGCAGTGAATAATAAGCCTGGAAAATAAGTTAGTGATATGCCAAAGGACACGAATCATTACTGTTTAGAAAACACCAAAGTATTACAATGCCATAAATATGAATGATCGTAGTGATGAATTACTATTGGTTATGAGTAGTATGTGTGTGTTCGGGATATCATGGTGGCCAACTTTGACACATAAAACTCTCTAATGTTTTCTACAGCAAATCCTTCTTATTCAAATTTTCTTTATATTGAACTCCCGGGATAAATCTATGTATATTTTCTTTATTCAAACCTGGATATATATATATCTATGTATATGTGTGTGTGTGTGCGCGCGCGTGCGTGCATGTCTATATATATATATATATATATATATATAGGTATTTATATATAAATATATTGCCGAATGTTTTACATATATAAAAATATTATATCCCAAAATATTTTATTTTACTATTTTTTCAAATATACAAATTATTTATTATCTCATTGTTTAATCCTACTCATTAAATTGTCCAAAGTGTGTGATGAACCGTATAAACACTTATAAAGCTGGTCATAGTATTGGTTCTTCACCAATACTATAAGCAATAATCGGAATCTAGCAACACATTATTGTCCCCAGATTATAAGTTAAGACGTTTGCACCGTCAAAACCTTTCCACGACTCAGACTCCGTGTAATTGTACCCCTTTGTCTCAATGTCTAGACTTAATGCAAGGGATTAATAAAATCCAACTTCTATCTATTAAGTCATTCATTGATCTATCAAGTCTGACGAATAGCAACAGACGTCATAAAAATATCTCAGCATGACCATGCAATTTCTTCAGTCATAACTTATCAATGGGCCACATAAGACATTTATCTCTTAAAAGAGTAGTGACAAATTCTATATATGTAATCTACGTTTCTGAATATGCGCTGCGACATACCCAAAACAAAGCTTGTATACCATCCTTTTTTCATATGGCTTATGACAATGCATCAAAGCATGCGCGTTCACATATGTAGAAAACGTAATACTTCAAGTCGAAAGATAATTACACTCGTGGTCGCGCTAAAGATGCTTAGAGCATGAACTAAAAGTTCAAGAAACATCTTTAGGATGCGTCAGTCCGGCATCTTACTATCTCCAGATAATATCTGCCCATGTGCGGATGCGAACACACCGTCTTTGACTATGAGACTAAGTCAAACATCCAACACACACTAGTCTCACTCTCGTTAATATTCGACTATGGACATTAAGATAAATATTTATTGCAAGATGTTAGTCTCATCCGCATAATAATACGGAGTACAATCTGATATACATCATTAAATATAAATCTAGGCATACAATATTTGTTTACATTAGCATGAGATATGTAAACATATTATATTCACCTATACATGATAGAATAACGATAAACAGTTGGCCATCAGGGCACAACTCCAACACTTTATCCCTAGATTTGTAAGAAGTCTTCCATACATTTGAGTTCAAACGTGCTAAGGAAACGAGAGTCCTTACTCTATTAAGATTAGCATGTGATTTGTGTTACACTTATATTTATGATTCCTAGTCCTATTAGGACTTTCTTGATTCTTTCTTGATAGCTATATATATCTCATATTGTATTGTACATAACAAGAGAGAAATACAGAAGATTTATCCCAAAATTATTCTTGAGTATCATGGTATCGGAGCTGAATTAAAGACCATATTCCCTTTGTGAATTATTTCTCTGGCGATCCTGGATGATTGGTGGACCAATCATTCGCTTATAGTGTCATGGATACGCAACACGATTGAACCATCGTTGCGATCCACGATCTATACGGGAGAATCTGCATCTGATTTGTGGGACGAACTAAAATCATGTTTTTCGGTTGTAAACAGACCTCACATCCAACAACTGAAACGCGAAATAGCTGAATTTAAACAAAAGGGACTTACCATGATGGCATATTATGGAAAGTTGAAGAAATTATGGGATGATTTGGCCGACATCGACAAATTCCCTGATTGTGTTTGCACAGACTGTGTGGGTAAAGTGGCGGCACCCCTATCAAAGAAGAGAGAGGAAGAAAGGGATCATCAATTGCATCACCCTCATCCATCGCCCCTGTCCCTGGCGAAACCACGCTAGAGCACCAACCCAACACATCGTCAGTGACGCTGGCCGAAACGCTGGCAAAGTTGCTACCGACCGACAATGCCACCCCTTCCGGCAGCTCAGGTGTAGATCCGTCCGTAGCCTCAGACACAGCAACTCCTCCTGCCCCTGATATCGGCCGAGGGCAGCGCGCACGCATACTAAGCACCCGTCTCAAGGACTACGTTACATATACTGCCTT